AAAATATATTGTTTACACTGTTTCTGCCTTGAATTATTATTTTGGAATAAATGTAAAATGTAGAAAATGTAAATGTAGAAAAATCTTCAGTCGAGGGCAGCCCTAGTAAAATATAAAATACAATAGTTTTTTCCCCCTTTTTTGATTGTCTAAGTAACGAAGAAAATGTGACTGGGACATGAAAGAAAAAATGCGGACTTTGCCTTCTTATTTAAGAGCACCACTGCACATGTACATATAACGCATATAAATAACACTAAACTAAAAAAAGTTCACACTGCTCTTTTACATACAACAAAACGGAATGGCAAAACCACCATAAATACATTAAAAAGTAGTTGAAGGACATTATATTCTAAACAGATTTGAAATGTGAGATTTGAAAGCTATGCCCAAGGCAAGGTTTTTAAGTAAATAACTGGTCTGTTGCTCGTACAATGACTGTGTAAGGTTTTTAAAAAAAGACTTGTAATATTGCATGAGTCATTTGAACTACTTTTATGAATCTTTTATGATGCCTTTTTGGAGCCTGACAGGCACTGGACACCACTTGACAGAAGAAAATAAGTCATAGAGGATCGACTTGAAGATGAGTAAATCATGGCAGACGAGTGACCTGTTCGTTTGAGGTGATTTGCTCAAACCGCTGTTCTATTTGCATTCTGCACCTCAGGGCATTTTAGAATGTCAGACCCCTAACTGTTATGAGGACACAGGGTTGTGAAGCTGCATTTGCGATCTTGGTGTATATCCAGAGCTTACTCTACACTTCTCTTCTTGTTCATTCCTTGACCCCCAAAAAAAAACACTGGGAATTTTTTATCAAAAGACTACACTATTGCCAAAAAACAACAAAACTAAATGGCATTTGCAAAGCATTTAACCTCCATAGTGTGACACTATGGTCATTTTTATCCATATGTGCATGCACTTCCCTACATTCACTGATTTAGCAGATGCTTTTAAACCAAGTAGCTAATTTATAAATGTGGAACAATACAGCAAATGGCTTACTCTTCTTGCTAGACCCAGGGCGATGTAGCACTTCTCTCCGGGATCCACAATTTCCACTTCAAAGTAGTGACTTCGTGTCGTGAGGGGTTGTCGGGCCTGAGCCAGACCAACGTCCATGATGCTCTTCCCTTTCCCGACATATTCCAGAAGCTATGGCAGAAAGCATCATAGACTTAATTAAACTTAATTTAGATACATTATAGAGCATTACACATCATTATACATGTTTTAATATTGTGTTTTTAACTGTTTGCTCATGTGGAAGGAAACAGGATCTTGTCAGGTGGATTATTTGGTCAGTTTAAGATTAACTTGGCATAAACCAGATGCATCTATAAAAATAGTCAGCTTGGCTGTGAGCAGGTTTGGGAAATTGGATATGTTGCACTGCAAACATACCTGGCTAAGCCTCAGTTTTTCAAGGAAAGGAAGATCTTGATTTATGCCAAGCCATCTTGAAACTGGCTTCAGGTTTTATGTTCAGACACACTACCGTTGAGGTTTTGTTTTTAAAGAAATTAAAACTTTAATTTCATTTGTTTGAGAGAGGCGGGGCATAGAGGACCTACAATAATGTACAGTATTTGAAAAATAATGTGTTTTTTGAACATTAAAGCATGTCAACATATTCGGTTACACCAAATACACAAAATAATGATCTTTAAAAAAGCATCATATAACCCCTTTAAAGAAATTCACAGTAAAAGACATTTCTAATGTTAGAAAAGACATAAAAATATTAAGCAGCACAACTGTGTTCAACATTGATAATAATAAATATTTCAGCAGCAAATCACTATATTTGAAGGATTACTGAAGGATATTGTAACACGGAAGACTGGAGTAATGATGCTGAAAATTCAGCTTTGATATCACAGGAATAAATTACAGTTTAAAATATATTCAAATATTCAAATTATTGGGGGGAATAAGAGACTTTCAAAAACATAAATGATTTAAAACTGTAGTGTATACATAATACATAATATGTATGCATAATACATAATGAAATGGTTTATTTTTCTTTCAGATTATCTGTTTTAAACATGTAACTATTCATATTTTAATGGTGGATTTCCACAGTTAAGAGTTAAATACAAGGTTAAAACAATAAAATCTACCAATACAAGATATTTGGAAAGCAGCAAACATATTTTATAAAGGAAAAATCTTTCCAAGGCAGTTGTTAATATCTTAGAAGTGGCCAAATTTGAAGAAACACCCAAAAATACAATGGAGTGCCAGAAGAGGTCAGATGGATTGGTGACAGATGGACTATTGTGTTTCGTGCCGAACACTTCAAAAGTTGATCTGCACTTTGAAATGTGCATGTTTGCAAAATAAATGAGAACACCAGGGTTTTCAGGAACACACACTCCCGCGATTGCTCCATGGGAAGTGCTAGAGAGCCGGATGAGAGCAAAGGAAATGGTTGGTGCGAGAGGGGAGGGTCAGGAGGTGATATGGGTTGAACTCCTTCACGCAGACGTGACCGCTGAGGCTCCAGTATGCACCTCCGCCCCTCGTTAGAACCAAGAAAATCTTTGTCTTGCATCCTAGCAACCCAGTGTATATTCCGGATGCATGTGTACGAGCTCGTACGGCCAGCTAAAGTCCCCGTTCACAGGGGGTGAGGGTTCACTGATCGCAGATAAGAGCTCGGCTCTTCCTCCCCACATCCGCCATCATACTCAGACCGAAACTGGGACTGGCAGAGAACAGATTATCTTATAATTCTGCCCATCTGATGTTCTCACCGCAGCTGAGATCCTGCCATTACCTAGGCTGGTTCCCATTCCGCGGCTGTTCCTCAAACGGCAGAGGTGATACGCGCACTTGATGTTGTAACAATGAACAACCACACTGTTTGTAAACATCTCTCCAGCCACAGGATGCAGGGAACACGGTACACGTCCAATGGGAGTAAACAGTAATTAGGCAGCAATGCTTTAACTGATATTTGATACTTAATGAAACGCAGATGCAAAGTTCCAGCAAACGTCAAAATTTGAAAAAACAATAACAAATTGCTCTCCGTTTCTCTGAGCAACCAGCGGCCTCGCACGACTCAACATGACAGACTTGTTTACTGTCTGCCGTTCCCAACCTGAGACTAATTACCCTCCACTTTCTTCATGGTCTTGTACAGGATGTCAGGAAGAGAGAAGAACACGGAGGTCAAAAAAATAATTAAAAAAAACGAATTTACTCAACCTTGTAATTTAGGGTTATTATCGCTAGCTACAACTGAAACCATTAAAAACTTATGTTAATTGAAATCAAGCTAAACTAATATATAGATATTAGATGAAATACTATAAACCAAAAATTAAAAATGTTGTACTAAAATTACAAAATGGAAATAAACACATACTAAAACTAGAGCTGAAATTAAAATATTAAACCTAAATAATAATAATAAAAAAAGAAACTAAAAATATAAAGATAAAGATAAAAGCTCATTTAAAATATTGTTTTTATAGGATGTTTCCTCCGAGGAAGCAAGGGAGGCAGTGTCTCCTCAAAATACTGGATGAGAAAATAATTTGTAGTACAAAAATAAAAAAACCCGCCAATAATACAAAATATAACATTAATCAGCTTGGCGAAATGTAAAGTAATTAATCTCCATGTTTGTGACCAAAATTTACCGAGCTTTGATGACTGATGATCCGAAAAATTCATAAATAGTTAAAAGTTAACTATTAAAAAGAATAGCTGAACATAAAATATAATATATTTTATAATATATATTATAATATATAATATAAAACAAATAAAATATATTGTTTACACTGTTTCTGCCTTGAATTATTATTTTGGAATAAATGTAAAATGTAGAAAATGTAAATGTAGAAAAATCTTCAGTCGAGGGCAGCCCTAGTAAAATATAAAATACAATATTTTTTCCCCCTTTTTTTGATTGTCTAAGTAACGAAGAAAATGTGACTGGGACATGAAAGAAAAAATGCGGACTTTGCCTTCTTATTTAAGAGCACCACTGCACATGTACATATAACGCATATAAATAACACTAAACTAAAAAAAGTTCACACTGCTCTTTTACATACAACAAAACGGAATGGCAAAACCACCATAAATACATTAATTTTTTTGATTGTCTAAGTAACGAAGAAAATGTGACTGGGACATGAAAGAAAAAATGCGGACTTTGCCTTCTTATTTAAGAGCACCACTGCACATGTACATATAACGCATATAAATAACACTAAACTAAAAAAAGTTCACACTGCTCTTTTACATACAACAAAACGGAATGGCAAAACCACCATAAATACATTAAAAAGTAGTTGAAGGACATTATATTCTAAACAGATTTGAAATGTGAGATTTGAAAGCTATGCCCAAGGCAAGGTTTTTAAGTAAATAACTGGTCTGTTGCTCGTACAATGACTGTGTAAGGTTTTTAAAAAAAGACTTGTAATATTGCATGAGTCATTTGAACTACTTTTATGAATCTTTTATGATGCCTTTTTGGAGCCTGACAGGCACTGGACACCACTTGACAGAAGAAAATAAGTCATAGAGGATCGACTTGAAGATGAGTAAATCATGGCAGACGAGTGACCTGTTCGTTTGAGGTGATTTGCTCAAACCGCTGTTCTATTTGCATTCTGCACCTCAGGGCATTTTAGAATGTCAGACCCTAACTGTTATGAGGACACAGGGTTGTGAAGCTGCATTTGCGATCTTGGTGTATATCCAGAGCTTACTCTACACTTCTCTTCTTGTTCATTCCTTGACCCCCAAAAAAAAACACTGGGAATTTTTTATCAAAAGACTACACTATTGCCAAAAAACAACAAAACTAAATGGCATTTGCAAAGCATTTAACCTCCATAGTGTGACACTATGGTCATTTTTATCCATATGTGCATGCACTTCCCTACATTCACTGATTTAGCAGATGCTTTTAAACCAAGTAGCTAATTTATAAATGTGGAACAATACAGCAAATGGCTTACTCTTCTTGCTAGACCCAGGGCGATGTAGCACTTCTCTCCGGGATCCACAATTTCCACTTCAAAGTAGTGACTTCGTGTCGTGAGGGGTTGTCGGGCCTGAGCCAGACCAACGTCCATGATGCTCTTCCCTTTCCCGACATATTCCAGAAGCTACGGCAGAAAACATCATAGACTTAATTTAGATACATTATAGACCATTACACATCATTATACATGTTTTAATATTGTGTTTTTAACTGTTTGCTCATGTGGAAGGAAACAGGATCTTGTCAGGTGGATTATTTGGTCAGTTTAAGATTAACTTGGCATAAACCAGATGCATCTATAAAAATAGTCAGCTTGGCTGTGAGCAGGTTTGGGAAATTGGATATGTTGCACTGCAAACATACCTGGCTAAGCCTCAGTTTTTCAAGGAAAGGAAGATCTTGATTTATGCCAAGCCATCTTGAAACTGGCTTCAGGTTTTATGTTCAGACACACTACCGTTGAGGTTTTGTTTTTAAAGAAATTAAAACTTTAATTTCATTTGGCAAGGACGCATTAAATTGATCAAAAGTGATAGCAAAAGACTTTATATTGTTACAAAGAATAAAGAAAAAAAAAAGGTTTCTTGAGCAGCAAACCAGCATATTAGTATGATTTCTGAAGGATCATGTGGCAATGAAGACTGGAGTAATGATATTAAAAATTCAGCTTTACTATCACAAGAATAAATTAAATTTTAAAATACATTAAAATAAAAAATATACATTTTAAATTGTATTAATATTTCACAACATAACTGTACTTTTGATCAAATACATACAGCCTTGTTGATCTTAAGCCTTACAGACCCTACACTTTTGAACAGCGGTGTGTTCATATAAAGAAAAAATTCCTTGAGTGATGGTTTTGAGCTCAAGGCACTTCGAGAAGAATATTTAGAAGAATAATCTACATGAAATGAGATCAAGTATGGGCAAACCCAAGCACACAAGAGTGATGACACATCTTCAGATTGATATTTTCCATCAGGTGTGTTAGCAAAGATGTAATAAGATTATTAGGGAAGACATAAAAGGTTGACCTGTCTTCAATAAGTTCATGGGATAGTGAGGGTGGGGCATGGGCTTTCAACTACAGACATGTGAGTGGTATCTTTCGACAGCCCCACCTACCTAGCCTTACAAATGAAAAGAAAAAAAATACCAATGGAACAATTTTGACATGGCATAAGGTCAAATGTTTCATTCAACAGATCATGCAAGTGTGAGCCATCTCCCAAGGACCGTCTCGACCTAGTGATGCCTAACGTACACTCAAACATTCAATTCATAGGACAAGTCAAAACACTTTAGATTAAATCTTGAAATTGTGCCCACCTAAATGACCTTTTTAAGCACCTATGTCTGTTCAAGTGATCAAAGGTAAAAAATGTAACTCAATGGACTGCCTTATATGCACTTTTGAACAGTCAGTTTAAAGACCAAAACTGAATTGCATATTTGGTTATCATATGCATATTTGAAAAGCATTTTTGGGCATTAAAAAAGTGGCAAAAAAGAACAAAATGGGCAAAAACAATGGCTAAAACCACTTCAATTTGAAACCTAGTGAGCTGCCTTACCTAGACATCATTAACCTTCAGATTAAAAGTTAAACAACATTTTTGGCCATCATGTGCACTTTCAGGTGCTTAATTTAAACGTTAACACCTCGGATCCCAACCTAGACTGCATTTTTTGGCATGTGTCAACGGTCAAAAAGGACAAAACTTCTGTACTTTAATTGAGAACCTAGTGCCTAACAGCATTTCTGGGTATCATAAGCACTTTCAAATGTTCGATTTAAAACATTAACTTCAGATTAAAAAATGTTTGGCCTTCATATGACCTTTCAATTATCAAGTAAAATTTTTACCTTCAAGTAAAAATTTAGTAAGCTGCCTACCCAGACAACACTTTTGGGCATCACATGAAACCGCCTTTCTCTCACGTTCTGTTTCTGGCCCAGCACAGCTTCTAAACTCACAACACAGCATGGTGATTACTTTCAGATTTCAACTGGTTGTCATTAATTACTTAGAAATTTCCGTTTGCAACATCAGAATCAGCACTTTATTGGGGCAGTGGAAAGATTTCGCCAATGCCATCTACAACAACCTTTGGTATCCTTGTTTACGCCGCTAGACAACTGCAGGTCAGACGGAGACTCTGACAGGGGGCCTCGTACAACCACATGCTGGTAACGACCAGACATTTAGAAAAACACGAAAACGTGCGTGCAAAAGTCAAACGGAGCCTTTAAATGGCCATGAACAGATTGCTGTTAGTTGTCCAAGAATATCCCCCGCTGACATCAAAACCACTGATCAACTACAGAAAATAAGATGCAAAATCCTGCAAACAATCAGCCGCTGCTTTGATCAAAGCAGACTTGATCGATCCAAATAAACTAATTGGTGTTCAATATGGAAGAATGCATGTTTTTGGAATGGAAGGCATTCTCTTCTCATCTCCTGATGCTCACTGGTGGATGCACCCACCAAGGAACTGATATCCCGACTCTTCTTTTCAACATCAACCTCTTCAAGTTTTTGTGCCAGGACAGTTGCATGCTCATTTGAGGATGGAGGCAAAATTGCACCTAGTCACACCTTCCTGCCTCCTTGATGCTGAGTAATGGGGAGGTTGTCTACATTTATACCACTCCTAACGGCTCTCAACAGCTCCCAGCATGCTCGGATAACAGTGATGACAGATCCAACATGCTCTCGAACGTCACCATCCAAAGACCTACGTGGGGGCGGCAACTTGTTTTGTTGACCCGCTGCCCCGGCAACAGGTGCAACATTGGACGAGAGTCCCACAACTTCCTGTCACAGTGCGGAGAATGTGGAAAAGGCGGAGGACCCAAAGAGGGAGACGCCCACAAGTGGAGTCGCTGAGATGTTTGTCTCGCTCGTCTCTTGTCTTTAAAATAGGGTCTATGTTTTGACAGCCTCAGACGAAATCTCTGAAGATGTTGTTATAAGTCGTTTGTCGGCTAGCGGTTACTCGAAATCTGTCTAAATGCAATTTATCCTTAATTCACCTTGTTCTTTAGAGTGTTAAGTACTTGGCATTCAGCTGCTCATTTAATTGACAAAACAATATATTTAAAGCCTCAACATGCAGACTCTGTTTTGTGTAGCGCTATGAATTCCTGTCACTGTCCAAGATGGTCCTAAATAAGCAAAACAAAATGATTTCAAATGATCTATGATAGAAAAGTACTTTTGTATGTTTACATCATGGTATCCCAGTACAATTTCTAAATTTGTTTTTTACGAATAATGGATCATGAGATAATAAAATGTTCCTTTTTAATTTTCTAGTTCATTGCACTATAATAACACATTGTGTAATGGTGCGATCACATTTATCACTGTCGCTATTGCTACATTTCAAGGGACAAATTCAGTCATTTCAGGAATCCATGTGATCAGAAATTTGGTTTCCACAGATTTCCTCATGAAGATTTCCACATGAAGACTTTGCAATGGGTTTAACTGAGTTGGTCATTGACCAACAGAGAGCAGCTTGGTTTGAAAGTGACTTCTATGTGCTTCATACATTGCTACACTCTTGACAATGGATCTAAGAAGCCAAAACTATATAAATCTATTAAAAATTAGCCTTCTGCAACATTGCAACATTTCACTGAACACATCAGCACATAATTGCCTCTACCGAAGCACTACTTTCTACTTTTAGATTATCACTTCCATGACCTGCTCACTGGTGCCCAGTAGGTGAAGTAATAAAAATGGTGCTTTTCCTGCACACAAAAAGGTACCGCTTGAGGTCGTTCACATAAGACATGTTCATTCATCTCTGTGCATTGTTTTTAATTTAAAAGAAGTTCTGCTCGTCACGTCCACTCTGCTGCATATAGCTGGAAAAACATGTCAGTCTGCACATTTTAATTGTTTTTCTGCGAAATGCTCACTTGACGGACATCTTTGACCGTTATGGCGTGCCTCGCTAACACGTTTTTAAGACGTTGAGACAAGTTAAAAAGATTAAGATAATTGTGCTGCTCCTGGCTGTGGAAACCAGCATGACTTTCCGAAGGAGCCCAGCATTAGGAAAAAGAAGCTTAAATGGATACCCAAAAATGAACATTTCGTCATCGTTTACTCATGTGGAAGGGCCTCCAAACCTGTGACACTTACTTTCTTCTGTGGAACACAAAAGAAAATAGTTTGAAAAATGTCTAAGTAATTTTTTGCCCCTACAAGTAAAGTAAATAGAATTCAACGTTGTTTGGACCCAAACATTCTTCAAAATATATTTTTTTACCACATATGAAAGTAAGCCATACAGGTTTGGAACGGCGTGAGGGTGAACAAATAATGACAGAATTTGGGTAAACTATCACCTTTAAGATTATTTAACAAAACGCCCGACTACATTAATGTGGGACTATAAATTAGCTTGACATTGCATCTTAGATTATTTGTGAATCAGTTAAATACGGTGAAGGCATTGCCACGAAGCTGTTAATCAAAGATGGAGTGGTTAAAAACTATAACTATACCCCACAGCCGAGCCATAAGTAATGTAATGTATCTGTTGATGGCTATTTAATATTTACGACTTAGGGTGCGGCATAACCTACCTGGGCTGGATCGAACAGCTGGATACAGATTTATAAAACCCTTCAAGGTTATTCTGGATTATTTTCTCAGTTGTCAGCATTCATACTGCTTTCCTAAGCAAAGATATTAGCCAATCATAACAGTGGGTGTTTGAGAAGCTACATGTTTAATTCAAAGTAGATAGAGAGAGGGTGAACCATGAATTAATAACGAAATTAACATTTTCGAGGCAAAAAACAACATTACTACTATGTTAAACTTAAAAAGATGGAGTGGTTAAAAACTATAACTATACCCCACAGCCGAGCCATAAGTAATGTAATGTATCTGTTGATGGCTATTTAATATTTACGACTTAGGGTGCGGCATAACCTACCTGGGCTGGATCGAACAGCTGGATACAGATTTATAAAACCCTTCAAGGTTATTCTGGATTATTTTCTCAGTTGTCAGCATTCATACTGCTTTCCTAAGCAAAGATATTAGCCAATCATAACAGTGGGTGTTTGAGAAGCTACATGTTTAATTC